TTTGAAAGGATGAATTCACATCCAATAAAGCTTATAGTATCATTTATTAACAGATGCATCGAGGTAGAGCCACCGTTCAAAAGACATAAACATAACTCTGTCGAGTGCAATAAATCCATGCATATCCATTTGTAGCAAATCATATGCCAGACCAGGGGAACACAGATACCCTTCGCATTCTTACATTGTCCGCATGTCAACCATACGGCGACCGCACGGTCAGCCTGCCTTTCGCACCTCTCATACACGTGTACAAATTCTAAGATCATATTGATTACCATTGATTCCTCGTTTTTAATCCCTGGTTTTCAAAGCCCGTTAGATGTTAATGAATGGAGATTTTTAAATGTGCTTTCATTAAACAGCCAGGATAAATAAACTATTTTTCATTTCCCAGGAATCACATAATCCGTCAAAATTCATTTAATTTAAAATGTATCTAATATATTACATGTATACAATCAGACAGACTGGCTATTCTAATCCGTTATGAAAAGCCATTTGTTTTTTCCTCTACAGGATGTTTCTGCGGAAGTTAATTTGTTTATCTTAGTGTTTAGAGGCAATGTCCTTTGACGTTTTCGTGAAATAAATTAACTCTGTGATGGACTACAATTGTATATTTTTACAGGAACAGTTACCAGAAGTAGACCACTGTTACATTATTTTCATTTTAGGTCTCTCTAATTAGTTGCATTGCAGAAGTCTAATATTATTCTCTCCTGTGCCGAAGGTACTTATACCCGTAGCCAACGGGGGGGGGGGGGTGTTCAAGGAGTCCAACTCAACAGAATTCGAATTGAATACAAAATAAATTCATAACATATAAATATATAAATACATAATGTCTATCCAAGTCTTCTTGCCGCTATTTTCTGAACTTCAAATGCGCCTTTTGATGTGTGATAACAAAATACTAAATAAATACTTAATGTTACTCCAGCTTGTTTTTATAGTAATTTTGCAATTAAACATGCATATTAAAGAGATAGCAATGTGTGTACTGTGTACAACCCTAATCCTCTCCCGATCAGGCCCGCGATCAGGTCACGTTTTATATGTCTCTGATGTAATAACTGCCCTGTCAACCCTCACGCATTAGGCGTGATTGTTACGCATTTGCTGGAAAAATAGAAATCACGCATCAATTTAGCGTGTATGATCAAATATCACGCAAATCACGGATTTAATTGAAATTTTTAAAAATCGTTTTTTTTGTGAAATGCCGACATGGTAAAATACCGAACGGCGAAAAAAGCGAACGCATTCCGTTCGGTCTTTGCACGCGATTGCCGTTTATGTCACACATTTGGTACTAATACTCATTTATATTAATTTATCCGTCCGTCTGATTAGATTTTGTTCCCTGACTCAAACCAGAGACATATAAAACATATATATTTTATATGTCTCTGCTCAAACAAAGTCAACCCCGATTTCAGTTCTTAATTCTTCACTTGAAACGATATAGCCAACATGATACAACATGAATTTGGATTAATTATACATATATAAAGCCTATTGTTATCAAAACCCATAAATCCTCACCATATAAATATAGTTTTATTGATGACCAAAAACAGATATCAGGGGCGTAGCCAGCTTTCAGTCAGGGGGGAGGGGGTGCGATCGCCAAAAAGATTTCGGTTTTCAGTCAGGAGGGTACGATTGTGGCCTGAGCAGCATTTTAAAGCTCCTTTCTTCTTCTTTCTCAGGGTTTTATTTTTATTGTTATGGGGGGGGGGGGGGGTGCGATCGCACCCATCACAACCCCCCCCCCCTGGATACGCCCACGGATATTTTGGCAACTTCCACGTTTACCCCCCCCCCCGTAATCATTTTTGCGCCCCCTCTAAATATCAAACCAATCAGGCGATGAGGCATGGATCAGGATACCCTGACTCCCAAGCTGTGCGACTTCTGGCAACCGCTACACCTATATTCCCGGGGGAAATGCTTTTTCTTTTGAAAAATTATCAAATATGGTCGTGTGTGGGCAAACACGGAGGAGGAGGAGAGGGGTGCGTGCATTGCGTGCGATCCCTCATCAGTTGTGTACCTTATTTTTGTATGAATTTCTCCCGAACAGTTATGCTAGAGGGGTTATAATATTTATTTCTGTTTTCAAATGAAATAATTTCACCCTTGCCCGATTGGCTATAATGCACATCAAATAGCATGGAGATCAGATAATTAGATTGATTCGTTTTTTCACAATCAGATGAATTAACTTATTGTTTTCTCTGATTAAAAGGCGGTTTGAAGCTACTTTTATAGGATTTGTAAATTCGCAATCAGACTGGCTTATTTTATTATTTAGTCAGTGCAAGAGGAGGGGACTATAATGTAGAAAATCGTTTTGATTTCGACACTAACTGAAATAATTTATCACAATAAATTGTTAAATACGGAAACAGAGACCGGTTTAAAAATGAAAAGAGAGGCAAAAAACTCTATTCATACCATGTAATTAAAACCCGGGAATTAAAAGCAATTTTAGACTGTTAGATCTTCTGTAATCAAGGTGATGTTGGTACACTTCCACCGTTAGAAAAACAAAGACTAAGACAAAGACTATATAGCAATTAATCCTTTTGTAATCATTAAATGTTAAATGTAGATTCTTATTAGTTTCGTTGGACAATGTTCAGACTTCTGACCAAGATTTATTCATTTATGTTTGTATTTAAAAAATAGTATTTCAATCAGACAGACGTTCTAATGAGTTAGAAAAATACATTTGACCATCACCTCTCAAGACGTTTTCAAAAGTAATCAAGTCGATTTGTTTATTTTAGTGTTTAGCATTGTTTTTCATAACTTGATGCTTCCATGAACAGAATGACTTTGAAATGAGTATTTATAATTTTAGCTTTTATACGACATGCTTATTGTATATTTCTATATGAACGTTGTAGTTATGTGATGTAACATCGCCCCCCCCCAAATTACAGGTATACAACTTTTGGTCGGAATACTTTAACTTGCGATTAAAAGCAATTTTAGACTGTTAGATGATCTCTTATGTAATCTAGGTGATGTTGGTAGACTTCCGCAGTTAAGAAAACAAAGACTAAGACAAAGAGAACTATATAGCAATTAATCCTTTTGTTATCACTAAATGTTAGATTCTTTATTGGACAATATTTTGACTTCTGTCTCCGATTGTTATGCAGATATATGTATATAATCATGTGAACAACATATTACTTGGAAATTCCCATATTCATTCTCATAATGTCTTACAGCTATTTCGCAAATGACATGCATGTAAGCCTAAATAACATGTGGACGTAATATTGCAGAACTGAGCGAAAAGAAAGGTTGAACAAATTAGATTAAGATGTTTTATTTTTTAAATGCACAAAGGGCAACAGTTGAAGAGCAAAAATTAAAGGCGTTGTGAAATAGATCGTGCTTTTGTATGATCCTCTTCTATAGTGCCCTACCCTTTGCATTCGTTCGACTTCACTTCTTAAAAGAGAGTTTCGTCTTCTCGTAGTATATAACTAGACTCTGCACGTAGCGTAATAGTGCCCCTATAAGCCATGTACAGGGGGGGGGGTGCGATTGCCCAAAAAACAATATCGGATTTCAGTCTGAGACAAATGGTCAAACATGAGTTTCAAAAAACTTCTAGAATTACCTTATGTAAATATTTACGTTAGCTTGTTTAATTAAGGTCTGACGTTATGAAAACAAAGTGCCATTAATTTCTGAACCGTATAATACAGTATCATCTGTTTGGTCTCGGTATATTCCAGTTTAATTTGTATTATACAAAAAATGATATGTATAATTTGTATTATACCACTTTGAAACCTGTTATAATAGAAAATGATATGCGTATAATACTGTTTAATCTGATCCTGACTTAAATTATATCAGGTTAAACTGGAATATATTTTGGTTTAATCGGGTATCATTCTCTAATGATATTTGAGTCCGGATCAGATGTTATAATATTGAATGATACTTTCTGTGATATTGGATTAAACAACAAATTAAACATCAATATAAGATGTTATCACAAGTATTAATCATAGGATTTTACACAGTGACAGCGACTGTGAAAGGTGTTTCCATTAAAAGTATTCAACTTACGACGTATATAGGTCTTCGACCTTCAAATGTATTTGAGTTATAGAAGTATAAACAATGTTCCCACTGACCAGGTGCTAAGATTTACCAGTCAATTGGCCACAGCGACTGTGTAAGGTGTTCCCATACAAAGGTATTCAACTTACAGAGGTGTTCCACTATAAAAGGTATTTAACTTATAGAAGTATTCTACTTGGTTTTACTCTTTCACAAATTCTCTTATACAATTCACATCGACATTCTTTTTAATCAAGTCGATGAAAACCGAAATCTATTTTAAGATTGATTTCGTACACATTTCAATTGTGTTGGGCATATGGACTTCCTCGTGTTACATATGTACGACGGTCTTTAGGCTTAAGACTATCATTGTTTATGCGCTTGGATAATTGTTTTCCATTCTACGTTGGCCTACAATTAGACATACTGTATGTGGATATCCAAATTCAGACAAACGCCATGCGAAACCACATTTAGGCATAAAATATGCGTAACCACATTTAGGCATAAAATATGCGTAGCTACATTTTATCAAATGAAATGCATGACCACAGCTTGGCAAATAAAATGTGCAATCACATTACTGATAATACGTGTACCAAACTTAGGCAGATAATGAGAGTAGCCACAGCTAGACTCGCATAAGTAGAATGAGATTAAGACCCGCATACCATGTGTAACCACATTAAGGAACATCTCCCCAAACATAGGGCCATATCCACATACAGTACGCACAGTTAGGCACGCATCAAAAAGTGTATGGGCATTTCCTTCTGCTGATCTTGTACACGATATAAAACCAAATACGTGTAGTTTCCATACGTTTAGGCACATGCATATTTAGGTATATGTATCCACGATAAGCTTCCACATTTTGGCATTTCCAATATCTTGTGTGACAATATCCAGATAGGTACAGCTAGCTATCCAATATTTTTCATATCCAGTATCCATTTTGATTAGTCTCGCTGTCAAGGAAACCATATTTAGGTATACGTACTGCAACTGATCCGCTTTTCTAAAGGCACATACTCGTCGTCACCTCCAAATCTAAGCAATCGGGTCCATGTATTTCAAGCAAATCTGTTCTAAGTCTGTGCATGTCGTTAATATCTGCTTGGCTAATATCTGGACTTGCTCGAAACAGGCCTTATAATCAAGCCTAGCTAGTTCGGGTTGTAGGTGTATCAGTATGTTTCCTTCCGATAGGTGCCACTGCTCCGCTACTTTCAGAGTTGCTATGGCAATCACTGATGGAGGATGCTGGGTAATATTGTAGTCAGTTATTGTGAGTTCCAGGATAAATCGTGCAATACCTTGAACTTGTCTGGAAATAGATAAGGTACTCAATTGGATCATTTTAAAATTTTGTAAATACTGTGATGCCTGGGTCACATTTACTCAGATTCATCGGCCGGCGCCCGGCAGATTGAGTATTTTGTTCAAAATTGCATTCGGTTTTGAACAAAATACTCAATTGGCCGGGCGCCGTAGTGAAAATCGGAGCAAAAGTGACCAAGGCATAACCACACACCTCCGATATCCGACGCAAAAGAGTAAAGAAAATACTTCTTGAATAAAGAACATTTTAGCAGTGCAAATATTGCGACACCATCGATCTCTTATGAAGCATTTCTTGGGCAGAATTTCTGTATTAACTCGAATCATTGAGTTACTTATGGTATCTAATATTAACATCTGAATACTTTTTAAATCAAAACCTTTCCAATAAAGACCTATTTCGCCTGCTGAAAGTGTATAGTCGCACATTAGGGAGTTTAAGCTTGCATATAAAATCAAAACGCCAACCTATACGTATGACCAACCGCCCATACAAATGCATCGCTTGAATATCTTCCCTTCACGTTTAGGTTGTGAAAAACACTGCAAGCTTAAACTCCCTAATATTTCATTTTTACCTTATGCCGATGGAATAGCATGCCGTGATCAGATCATCTACCAATGTTTTTACCTGAATAAGTTCAGTTTTGTTGGTGTCTCCTCATCATGGCAACAATTTAGTTGTCGCATTTGTAATGTACAATAATGCTCTAAGAAATAGTTGGATGTTGGGACGTTAAAGTCAAATCGAAGCTTCTGAAAGTAATAAAAAACATTAGCTAATGAGTGATATAAATAAAGATGGCAGTGTATTTAATATAGCCTATGAAAATATTTTACAATTCCATTTCTGCTGCCATCTTTATAATCTACGAATTCCAAAGTTGTAATAACAAAATTGGACACAAATGCTTATTTTTCTGTCCTGCTACAGCGTAGTGTGTCACCCGTGAAGAGCTTTGCGGAAACCAGTCGAAAGTGTCTAAATATTTATTTCACCAGCAATCAGACCTTGTGAATCAAGATAATCTTTATTTGAAATACAAGAAACTGCAGATGGACTTTTGGAAAAATAAGTATGGTAAATACCAGTGTAAGCAAAATGGAAACAATACAATTACAACGAAAAGGACTCTCAACTGGTATCTGGTTTGCTCCGAATTTTATAATTGCTTCGTGATGCTTTATACTGCAGATTAAAATGGAATATTTTTACCTGTAAAATAATGGCCTCCATCTGTATAAGTTGGTTATATGTGTAAGTGTGACACGTATAGTAGAGTAGGTCAGTCACCTCCGGCACAGAGATCTCTTCCTAAAATACAGTAGGAACTTTTAGCTATGTAATGGATACATGTGTAAGTGTGACACGTATAGTAGAGTAAGTCTGTCACCTCCGGCACAGAGATCTCTTCCTGAAATACAGTAGGAACTTTTAGCTATGTAATGGATACATGTGTAAGTGTGACACGTATAGTAGAGTAAGTCTGTCACCTCCGGCACAGAGATCTCTTCCTAAAATACAGTAGGAACTTTTAACTAAGTAATGGATACATGTGTAAGTGTGACATGTAAAGTAGAGTAAGAGTGGGGGCATGGGACCCCTTAGTGGGGCCTCACTAAAATGGGCCTTTTGTGGCATAATTTGGGCTTTTTTGACAAATTTAACAAAAAAAAACCTTAAGTTTTCAAAATTTGGACCCGATTTTTGGTTTTAGTGGCTCACATTTTTCCAGACTCAAAATTTGGATCTCCACCCTTGTCAATTTCTGGATCCGCCACTGACATGGGCAAGTGTGACGCTCTCATCCAAACTTAATTTGTACGTGCACGTGAACTTTGTAGAAGTATGGTCATCCCGGTGTAGAAGGGTAGGTGGTCCTATCAAATTTTGGTCCTACTCTCTATTGATTTATATGGTGACCTAAATACAATTATTTTCCTTATTATTTATACACAGTCAGGGCCAGTAAGGGCCTTAAGGAAAGGGGACCATATTCCCCAGGGGACCATAATTTCTTTTACACCGGGATTAGTTCTTCGTAGGACTGGATTGTTGACTCACTCATTTGGGGATAAAGTTACAATGAAAGTAGATGTTATCCATTGAAAAACAATTAATAGTGGAACATTTATTCGTGGGGTCATAATAGTATACGTCCACGTTCAGCTTCATTTTTAAAGGAATAGCTTAAACTCCCTTATAATTATACCTGTCACGTAACTGTTCCACGTGTAAATAAACAAAAATCGCCAGCCCTGATATATATAAGGCTGTTGCCATAGCGATCCATCTACACCCATACCGACACCAGTCAATCTTTCCAATCCCGCAGGCGGGGAATGCGATTGTCACCCCAGGTATTAACGCAAACAAGGCTATTACGATAAGAAACCCAGCAAAGTTCCCCAATTCTTGCTTTAAAGTTTCCATGTCCAAATATTTAAATTAAAAGGAATATCCTAATATGACCACCTATATCGAGCTCCGTTTCTATTGAAATCAAGCTCTGCTCGTGAAATTAAAAGTTTTATTCCATGGTTGCAAGGATATAGATCGAATATCACATGAAGATATATTTGATATGTGGATCAAGATATCATATTTTAGCAAAAAATTCACAAACCATCGAATATCACTTTTAAACTATCGAATATCACGTCTTAGAAAGTGATATTCGATGGTTTGAAAAGTGATATTCGATGGTTTGAAAAGTGATATTCGATGGTTTCGAATTTTTTCAAATTTTTTTTTGCATTTTTTAATTATTTTCAAAAATATTTCAAAAAAATTCAAAATTTCAAAAATAATTTCAACATTTTTTCACATTTTTTTCAATTTTTTTTCATTTTTTCAAAATTTTTCTCAAATTATATTTTTCAACTTTTTTCGCTGATGATGATTTTCCATGGGATAAACGGACAATCCTATTGTTTTTCAAAAATATCAATTATATCCACTCATGGATACAAATATCTTCACTCATTCGCTGCGCTCACTCATGAAGATATCAATATCCATTCATGGATATAAATGATATTTTTTCAAAACCATAGGATATTCCTATAATATCCACTATTAATTCTTTCCATTATTGACTCTCCCCAAACTCCTTGAAGTTTTGAGGCGCTGTACCCTCTAAGATAAGCTAAGGCAACAGCTGTCATTCACAGTTTATTCTACGAAAATCAATTCCCTCCAAGATAACTTTTTCCAAGATAATCATGTATATTAACGTGATTATGATGATTTCTCCAAGATATCATCTAATCCAAGATAAATTTTCTCCAAGATTTATAATTCACAGTATTAATTTTCCAAAGATTAATATCCGTTTAGGTGACTTTTTCCAAGACTTCACCAGGATAAAACTCTTATCCAAGATTGATTCTGGCGAAGATTAATTGCACCCCGTATAGTTTCTCCCTGGAATTAATCCTTTGAAGATTAGTAGTTTGTATTTAATTGTCCTGCTGTGTTCAAAGTATAACATATTCTGAATTATTCAAGACTAAATCGAACTGTAGGACATGCAATTTCAGAGTGCACTTTGCTTTAAGTGTCACTGTAGAAATGTATAGGGTTCACTCGCCCCTTTTCAAAGATCAGATCATTGTTATACTTGACCAGTGTTTGCAGTTTTGTGTATTTAGTAAAGTAAAATCAAATACTTGTAGCGTTGTAAATGTTTGCTACCAAGGGATTAAAAACTTCAAACATGCCATCGCATTCCAGAACAATCGACATCACAGTGAACAACCACATGAAATGAAACACGTTTAAAAACTAAATGCGATCAAATAGAGTTATATCATACAATGGGAAATGATGTCATAACTGAATTGTAGGTTTGTTCTGCTTTGTTTAGTTAACATAACATTAATAATATTATAATTGCATATTTGCTTTTAAGATACTCACTAGTTTTGTAGCGATTAAATATGCAGAAACTCCTAATAGCTGAAACACATTTATAGTAATGTTTGTTTGGGCCAGGAATCTGTCAATGATGTTCACAGTCAGAAAGATCGTATCAGAACTATAGTTGCACTGATGGTGGACTTTACACAGCCATGTGATTAACTGGTCTCTCATTTCCGGTTGTATCTAAAAGGAAGATCGCACCATGACTATAATTACACTGATGGTGGACTTTACACAGCCATGTGATTAACTGGTCTCTCATCTCCGGTTGTATCTAAGAGGAAGATCGCACCATGACTATAATTACACTGATGGTGGACTTCACACAGCCATGTGATTAACTGGTCCCTCATCTCCGGTTGTATCTAAAAGGAAGATCGCACCATGACTATAATTACACTAATGGTGGACTTTACACAACCATGTGATTAACTGGTCTCTCATCTCCGGTTGTATCTAAAAGGAAGATCGCACCATGACTATAATTACACTGATGGTGGACTTTACACAGCCATGTGATTAACTGGTCCCTCATCTCCGGTTGTATCTAAAAGGAAGATCGCACCATGACTATAAATACACTGATGGTGGACTTTACACAGCCATGTGATTAACTGGTCCCTCATCTCCGGTTGTATCTAAAAGGAAGATCGCACCATGACTATAAATACACTGATGGTGGACTTTACACAGCCATGTGATTAACTGGTCCCTCATCTCAGGTTGTATCTAAAAGGAAGATCGCACCATGACTATAATTACACTGATGGTGGACTTTACACAGCCATGTGATTAACTGGTCTCTCATGTCCGGTTGTATCTAAAAGGAAGATCGCACCATGACTATAATTACACTGATGGTGGACTTTACACAACCATGTGATTAACTGGTCTCTCATCTCCGGTTGTATCTAAAAGGAAGATCGCACCATGACTATAATTACACCAATGGTGGACTTTACACAGCCATGTGATTAACTGGTCTCTCATCTCCGGTTGTATCTAAAAGGAAGATCGCACCATGACTATAATTACACCAATGGTGGACTTTACACAACCATGTGATTAACTGGTCTCTCATCTCCGGTTGTATCTAAAAGGAAGATCGCACCATGACTATAATTACACTGATGGTGGACTTTACACAGCCATGTGATTAACTGGTCTCTCATCTCCGGTTGTATCTAAAAGGAAGATCGCACCATGACTATAATTACACTGATGGTGGACTTTACACAGCCATGTGATTAACTGGTCTCTCATCTCCGGTTGTATCTAAAAGGAAGATCGCACCATGACTATAAGTACACTTATTGTGGACTTAACACGTTTATTTAAGCCTTGTATCAAATCCGACTGAAAAAAGACATTGTTTGCTTACAAAAAAAATAGTTTGTGTATTATTAATAAACTTGAATAAATTAAGTTGAATCATAAGTTACTTCTTACAATTAAATAGAAAGGATTAAGGTTTTGGTAAAATAAGTGATTTTTAAATCAATTCCTAATACAGATCTTACCTACAATGTAAAATATGTAAATGTAAAATCAAAATTATCAGGAACAAATTTGGCAAATAAAACTGAAGTTTAAGCATAGCAGATCATAGTATAGCATCGCTTAGCACGGCCTAGCGTAGCATAGCCTAGCATCACGTCGCATAGCATTGCTTAGCATGGCATAGCGTAGCATAGCATAGCATCTCGTCGCATAACATCGCTTAGCATGGCATAGCGTAGCAAAACATAGCATATCATTTCTAAATACTATACTTAAATTAAATTACACCTACTCACATCTTTCTGATTTTCCAAGCAAGCTTTAGGATGATATATCTTCTCCAACGACTTCTTGTAGTTATACGTGTCTATAAGGTATGGAGATAGGGGATCTATATAGGGGATTTTTGGGATTTGCCTGGGTGTCGTTACATGATGTACCTTCTGAAAAAGGAAGTATTGTCATAAAGTATCAGAATAAGGGTGTTTTCATGAAGAGAGCCAAGGGGATTATTTCATAAATTATTCAAAACGTTAAATCGTAAATAATGCATTAAGGGAAAATCTGAAATATAAACTATTTGAATAAGAGACCATCTCGTTAAAGGAACATTTTGAAGCACTGGTTGAACACAATTTACAATCTCAGCCCAATATACACCAATGGGGCAAGATCCCACTTTCCCCATCGAGTCCCATCTTGCCACATCGAATCCGAACTTGCCCCATCGAATCCCACGAAGTCAAATGGGACCTTGATGACTTTGCCCCATCGTGCCCAATGGAGTCCCATCGAGCTCCATGGAGTCCCATCAAATCCCAACGTGCCCCTTTGGTGTATGTTAGGCATCACACAACACGTCATATGATCGAAAATCATGGAAAGAATGAATATGTTCATTCTCTATGGGGCATGATTGGACTCACTAGGATTTTACCCCACCGAGTCCAACTTGGGACCTCATGGGACTCGATGGGGCAAGATGAGGCAAAACCCGACGAAGTTTCGGAGTCCCACGGACTCCATGGGGCAAAATCCCAAGAAGTCCCACAAGGTCCAAAGCAATATTAAATATGGAGGTCCTAACTTGCCGTAGTGGTGTATACCGGGCTTCAAATGCTTAACAACATTAAAGCAGTAATTTCCTTAAAACCATTAAATGCAATAACATAGATATTGAAAAACTATAGATAATCATGACTTACTATAAATGATGGTACCATTTCAGAGTTGCATGTAGGTGTTGGAGATACATCCGTAGTTTCCATGGAAGCCTCGTTGCCTAGCAACGAGTCATTTTCGGGAGTCTTTGGTAAATCTTCTTCGAATATTGGTGATAACGGCTGTTTATGATCGCAGAATGACATGTCACTGTCGGCTGAACTGTAACCCTGGTCTTGGTAGACATCCATTGTTACTATGTTTTGTCTGTTCCTATGGCGATTTTGTTTTTATTGTTGCTGTCCTTGCTTAAGCAATATCGTTATGGTGATCATCAACCGGGTAACATTATTTTGTACATTCCTTGATGATGTTTTTATGATAGGCTTTGATTGAATAGATATTGTTGCTAAAATTGCTAAACTTGCTAAACTTATTTTGGTGCGGTAACATTAATTTAGTTGCTATTCTAAGTTATTTTTGTTGCTTTGACCTCACTGTCCTGATTTGGTGATCCCAATTACTAGTTTGTTGCTATAATCTCCTGAGATGCGTCACTGCGTCTACGCTGGTCCCTCTTGTGTTGCTATGGTAACACAACTGCTGGTGTAACTAAGGTAACATTAGTGCGATGATTCTAGCATGCAGGCCTACAAATATAAACATGTCATCAAACTTCCATAATTTTTTTGAACACCATATCTTTTTTATATATAATAGCCTGTATTCAAAGTAGTTCCGCACCTTTAGAAGAAAAATTGAAAAAATGTCATTCTGATATTTAGTCAAAATGTACTGATAATTTACATATTACACTCCCCTTTAAAAGTTTAGCAACCAGAATTAAATCGAAAGCATATCGAAACCGGAATCTTAGTTATGTTCCTTGATAACAATAATTTAGAAAGTATGACAAATTTGATGAGTTTTAAATCGCCAAACATTAACTGTGTTTGATGAATGACAAAAAGGGGGACTTCCAGTTGGCCAAACTTATTGAGGGGTGTTGCAATATTCTACCGTGAAGTGTAAAAATCGTCCAAAATATGAGGAATGTCACCTATTTTTTCTCTTTTGGTAATTATAGTCGTGAACATGCATTAAATATTGAACTTTCTTGTCATGTATATCTAACGATCACATTTTATTCATTCAGAGTTTGAGGTGAAATAAGCATTCTCTTTGATCTTGAACTCTTGAAAACTACACTCGCAAAAAGGATTTCCTTACATGTATATTATGATGCCAAATCGGTGCTGGCATATTCATATCTATGAATCAAGGACCTCATAGAAAAGGATGCTACAGTATAATGAAAAATAAAAAAATTCCATTTTACCTGGATCTTTCTGTGTTTTTATATCCCAAACAAATTGTAACTTGGCCGCACTGAGGAAATGTCAGCAGTGTCCTGTTTCTTGAACTCAAAGATGTCCAGTGCATTTGACTTGATACTTACATTTATTTAGGGGTGTGAGGATGGGAAATTAGGTCCAACTCAAGGTAATTACAGGTTTAAATTTGTATTTTGACCGTGTAACCCCATTGGCTCGTTTTCTCAGTTTGTTTTGTATTTTAAAGTGCAAGGTCAATTTCTAGTCGTAGTATATTCGTATGTAATAAATGTGATAACAGTTTCAAGGTGAGATTTCTCCCAAGTAGACCTTTGCGGCTGAATAGCTTAATTCTTCATAGGGAAACAATAAGGTGAGTACCTACATGTATTGTACTGAATATGGTCAACCCCAAAAATTGCAATCATGAGGAACGCATATATGTGCTTATAATTATGCAGTTTTCTCGAAAATTAATGATACTTTTTGTATGGGTCTTGTTTTCAAATTCTATATTCCGTCTCTATTCTCAGTTAATATAAAAATACGAAATAACTTTCTTATAAATACAAAGATAAAATACATCATATTTGTTCAGATTTGTTCAAATTAGTTTAAATTTTAGGTGTTCATTTTAATTTTCCTCCGGTGTTGCCTTCTGCGCTTTGCAATTTCAAACAAGTTCAGGTGATTTAACGCGTGGGGACAAGTGACACAGAAAATCAAAGCAATAACAACATAGTATAACCAAATCATAATTATCCCACCGAACAAAGTTCGACGGGGTTATCGAAAAGCCGTTTGCCCGTCCGTCCGTCCGTGCTTGTGTCCGGGTAGTAACTCAAATAACGGTTGACGGATTTGATTCAAATATGGACTTATGCCTTATTGGTGTATGGCCTCTGCTGGAGAAAGAATTTTCAATATCTTTGCAAATGGCCGCCATTTTTCGTAAAAAAATAATGTTGGATATCTCAAATACTAGTTGACGGATTTGGTTCAAGTTTTATATGCTGATGCCTAAAGACAAGGGAAATTTGCTGAAGAAGAGATTTTGAAGATGGTCGCTGTCTTTAAAATGCTGATACCTAAAGACACAGGAGCTAAAGTGGAGAACGAATTTTCAAGATGACAGCTGAAACTTAAATTGGCCACCATTCTTCATAACAGAACGTAATCTTTGATAACTCAAAAAAAAACAGTTTATGTATATACACTGTAATGGTTCAAATTTTATATGCTGGTGCCTAGAGACATGAGAGCACCACTCAAGAAGACACATTTTTAAGATGACCGCCGATTTTGTAATCCGAAAAATGTAATCTTTAATAACTCAAGTACCAGTGGACGGATTTGGTTCAAATTTTATATACTGATGCCTTCAGATAAGGAGCTCTGCTTGAGAAGAAATTCCCAAGATGACCGCCATTTATCAAAACAGTTTTTGTTCGATGGGATTTGCTACTCCGTGGAGTTGCTGCTTTCTAGTTGAAATATATAAGGATATTAAATCTGCCTACTTCGCCATTTATTTTTAGATATTCACGAGACTGAACACATCTTGACGACAGAACTTTGAAAGCAAGACTCATTCAAAACTGCAGCGTATCGCGTTAATTGGTTAAGACGAGCCATTAGAGTGAAATCAGTTCGCCAGTTTTGTATTTCAAAATATCGAGAGCGTCTTACGCACGGGTAAGAGCCTACCCGATTTTTCCGATTTTATATATTCCAAATGTAAATCACAACGTTTGAGATAAGTTAATATGGTATCAATGGATGGAAGTTTCCATTCTACCCATAGTATACACTCGTTGTTTACGGGTGTAGAGGTGTTAATTACGCCCGAGTAGGCGTAAATTACGCCCATGCAGACGTAAAATTACGGGCGTAATTTACGCCTATATGGGCGTAATGTACGTCCAAACAAGCGTACAGTATTGATTAAAGCCTACACATCCGTACACAACGGGTGTATACAGGTAGGGTGGCAAACCATAGATGGGAATATCTTTGGATATGACGTTGTAATTAATCCAATTGTAACAATTCGAGATGGGACGGTAGCTACTGGGGACATTCTTCCATAATGCCTTTATAAAATAGAAAAACAAGCTTAATATATTTATACTTAGATAATTTAATGTTTAAAATGTACAAGTTTTCAGTCTAACAAACAGCACAAGCATCGAAAAGAAAGACCTACGTATATGGACTTAATTAATGCCTTGGCCACATTTGCTCCGATTTTCACTATGGTGTCCGGCCAATTGAGTATTTTGTGCAAAATTGAATACGATATTGAACAAAACAATCAATCGGCCGGGTACCGACCGATGGATCGGAGCAAATGTGACCCAGGCATAAGATAAATGCATTTTCGTGGAATGGATTATGAATGAGCACTACCTCACAAAAGTTTAACAAGCGGGCGTCTCCTTTAAACTTAAAGAGATTGCAACACGCTTTTCAAATGGGACCTACTTCCGGTTGTCAAACTTATCTGAGGGGTGATCAAAGACTTCTGGTAATGCCCGAGTCACAATTGCTCCCATTCGTCGACCGGCGCCCGACCGATCGATTATTTTGTTTAAAATTGGCTAATTGAGCATTTTGTTCAACATTGAACAACTTTATTCAAAATTGAACAAAATAATCAATCGACCGGGCACCGGCTGATAAATTGGAGCAAATTTACTCAGGCATAAATCATGCAAGTAAAAAAAACTGTGAAAAAAACGATCTTCATGACGTCAAAGGTTGCAAATCGCAACGTCGTCAACCTATGATATGGCTAATGTGTTCATTTTTAGAAATAAAATAAAAGCTCTTTCAGAATAAGAGAAAATCAAACTTCATCGAGGAACCAATGACGTCATCGACAATAGGTCGCATGATCTATGAAAATAATCTACTGTTATCCAAATATAGATATTTTAACATTACTACTGCTATGTACATGTAAATAAATAATTTTCTAAGAAAATACTGTATTTATGAAAGAAGCGAACGTGGAATGAAATACTACTAATTCGAGGTAAGTATTTTAAGAAATGCATTGTTCATCAATGGTTTATAATAGCATTCGAGTTAAGCATATTGCCCAACAAATTGTTCAGGCGCACCGCTCTCGCTAAACTATATAAAGAGATTGCCCGGTACACGATTCAGAGGTAAGCTAGGAAGGCGAACGATCTTCGTCTCGTGATGATTTCCCATATAATCTTAACCAGGGAAGTTTCAACATTGAAATTGAAAATTACTATTAGATATACTTTGTAGATGTTATTTATGAAGCTATTTAGTGTTTGCATCAATCAAATGGCTCATTTTGAACATATAAAACGTATTTGTGTTTTGTTTCCCAGGGAATTGTATTGTATGTAGTACACACATAAATAGTGTACATTATACGTGAAAGCCTGGTTTACATAATATTGAAGGGCATGCTGATTACATGCACACGAGTACATGAATGAAGGCCTAATATTGATATACGTAGCTTGCATACCTAAATAAAAAATAAACTCTTCTAATCCCCTAATGTAAACACGGCGGTATACGTAGCCCGATTTATCAGGGACTTTAAGCATTTAAGAAATGTATACGCATTATATCATCAATGGTTTACAATTCACCTTTCCATAAAGTCAGCTCATGAATATTATAATGAGCCGCTTAAAAATCTATGACGTCAATGGTAGAAACTTTTCCCGCGAAAGCACAAATCCGGTTGAGTTACATGTAAATCTCTGGGTACTTTCAGTCAATTTAGCTGCTTCAAAATGGTAAGTTATCATAAAATAATCATCGATTTGGTATTATACATCACATTCACATATGTTTATGCCCTTTTGGTAATAATATTACTGTATCTAGGTTAGTAATTGACAAGAGATTCATTGCCGGTCATTGATCTGTTGACAACATTGAATGGATGTACAGCAGACATTAACATTAGTTATCCGTCTCGGTAGGTGTACTTGTGTTGTACTATGTTCCGGAGGGGGCACTCTCATGTACTTTGATTATTGATTTGTATAGCTACCCTAATTACAATACAAGTTCATAATAACGATTGCTAATATCCATTGCAAATATCATATTCACCTGGTCATCTCTGTCAAATCAGATTGAGAGGTAATTCTTTACTGAGAAAAGATATTTCATGGGATATATTCCAAGGATCAACGGTAAGCTATTTTCCGAGGAAATAAAATTAATATTAAATCCCCATATATAATAAGATTTGTGGAGGAATTTCCGAGGTAAATATGTCATTTACGCCGACACCATAATACTGGACAGTGTTTTTCAAATGACATATTGCATACTAGTCTTACAAATTTATTCACCGGGAAATATGAGCATCATGCGATATAAAACTTATATACCATGATTTGTGTGAAGATTGTATATCATATGGTAAGAGATAAATAGTTCGCATTAATAATCCACGACTCACAAAAATGGTATCTAAAGTCAGAATTAGAAATATTGTACAGCAAAGATAAATGTATGCAATTGCATAACATGAACTTTTCTTTTATTTAGGATCCAGCAGGATACCATCGATATCATTTGAATAAAAATGAGAACAACTGTCCCAAACAAAAGAAATCGGGAAAAAATTGCATTGTACCGATGTGCACGTCTTACGGGAAAGCGAAGGTTGATGAGAAGTTAGTCACATATATTAAAGTGCCAGCAAGTATGAAAAACAAATGGCTTATTGCGATACATAGGGTTGAAGATAAAAAGTTTCAATTAACTTCATCGAGTAGAGTTTGTTCTTTACATTTTGCTGACGAAGATTTTGAGTATCACGGATTCAGCAAGAGACGTATTTTAAAAGCAGGAATAGTACCCCACGTATTTAAATGCTGGTCAGATGTCCCTCATATGAATGTGTCTTCAAAACGGCGAAAAGACCCCTTTAATCGAGTGGAAAACAATCATGAGTTTACTGATAAAAAAACTGTATCTTCTATCCCCGAACCAAGAGGGTTACAATCCCCTCCTCTTACTCCAGTTGGTTATGAATGTAAAACGTGTACAACAAAGACATTAAAAGAAGTGAGTGCAAAACTACAAATTATCGTATTAAAGAAGGAAAAGGCTGAACTAGAGAACAAAATATTAAAACTGAAGCTTGACATAATGAAACTGACTGCCACAAAAAACGTCAATGAACCGGATAATGACACTAAAATCCAGTGTGACAAATTACGAGAAGAAAATGAAAGGCTAAAAGCCAATGTGTTCACATTCGATAATCTTCACGAACGTTATATACCATTTTATACTGGATTTCCAAACAAACAAACATTTCTTTCTGTTCTTGCATTTCTGAATCCAGGAAAAAGCGGTGAAAACATCGCAAATCGCTCTGACAAATCATCTGAAATAAAGAAAAAATCAGGCAGGCCCCATAAACTGTCCGTGGAGGACCAATTCCTACTTTATCTGTGTAGGGTTAGACTAGGCATGTTTGAAATGGATTTGGCAATTAGATTTGGTATTTCAAAATCCACCGTGTCTAATTTGTTCCTGAAGTGGGTAAATTTTCTCTACATCACGTTGGGGTCCATGAACATTTGGCCAAGTAAAAACCAAATTCAGCAAACAATGCCAGCGTCATTTAAGCAAAAATATCCTAACACCAGAGTAATCTTAGACGCTTTTGAGATCAAATGTCAGATGCCGAAATCTCTAACCCTTAAATCTCAAACATATTCGAACTACAAATGGGGTTTCCATTACACTCTCTGTAGTTTTTGTATTTTTCAATTGCTACAGTTTCATTTTTAATCCCATACTTCATAGCTTCAGAGGTTTTACCAACAGAACCACCAAGCAGCTCATTTCTTATAAACTTGGAGTGTTCCTTAGTCTTTCTGTTTACAATTTGTCCGAATTTGCTTGCTGTTAATCTACATTTTCTTGAACTATGCCACAATGGTACGGTTGTTTGGCCAATTGTATTTTGCTCGAGATCGAGAGCTTCGTTGGTTGTAACTACTACATTTGTATTGATGAAATTTAATGAACACTCGTCAAGGGGTCCGTTGTAACAAGGCAGATCGTCTCTTAAAGTGCTCCATGGGAAGGGTGGGAAATCATCGGGACAAACAATTATTTGTCTATTATCATAGTCTATTGTGTCTTCAATATGAAAATTAGGATCATTTTGGGGTATTTGATATGACAAAATACTTCCCCTGGGCACAGAAAACCCCAAGGATGTTGGCACTTGCTCTTTGTTCTGATCGCATTGTCCACTTAACAGGGTAAAATCTATTGGTGTCCCAATCTGTATAAGATCACAATACAATCCCTTGGTGTCGATTGGTGTTTTGTCACGTCTCGGGTCAAACAACGTAGATTTAATTCCTTGACTTGTGTCTTTTCCATAATGGGGTACAGAAACTTCAGATAGCATCACTGTATCAGACGATAATCCACTTGTTCGTGGTTTGTGCCATTTTTGGGGGTTGTCAGTACATGAATTCTCTTTTGGGAAAAATGATAATTTATTTTGTCCCATATAATCAATTTGGTACAGTAATCCTATAATATGATTGCAGTAGCCTGATTTTCCTGCTTTACATGAGCATGACGCAGATTCTACCTCGCAATCATTTATGGTACATTTTAGCGTGTGGGGGGACGTATTTTTTCTCTGGGATGGGTAACACTTTGATTTTATATAATGATATCCGTTTGCAGTTTTGCATTCCGTACCATGAATATAATTTTCTCTGAAAAAATAGTAGCCCTTTTCAAAAGGCTTTTCGACCATGGTTGTCTTGATTTTTTTCCCACTGTTCTTTGCATATTTTTCGATATTGCTGTATGTAAAGCCAGTAAGAGAAACGGGAAAGGAAGAAGAGAATCCTTTACTCGGGAAAACATTATCTGGTGAGGTTTCATGACTATCGCAAATGCGTTTGCGTTTGCAGGTTGTGCATTTCGATTGCTTTGCCCGTAAATTTGCATTGTTGGGGTCGGGATCATTTATTATCAATGAATCATCTGGAACAGCTTGCGTTTTTTCAGTTTCTATTACCTTAGTTCGAAGAGCTGCTAGCGTGGATTTAAAATGAGGCTTAATCCCTCGACACAAAAGCCATTTAACGCACTCAGATTTTCTCAGTTGACCAATTGGTTTATTAAGACTCGCACCATCAACATCATTCACTGTCAGTATACTACACGGGCAATTACTTTGCGTTGATGTATCGATAATGTCATTATCTTCTAGAACAGTTGGAGTATCATGAGAGGAATTACTTGCAGCTTCTGCATTTTCAATCATATTGAGCGCTGAAGGCTGCTCCTAGAATTATAAGTTTTAATTAATCACTCGTCAAATGGATTAAACCAAACTCATTATGAGACCATAAATAAGATAAAATGAAAGTGGGTTCTATTAATTGATTACATCAGATTCTAAGAGATCATATAGAAGTTTTAAGAGAGAGTACCCCTAGATGCATTATCCATATTAATCCCGGGGGGGGTCACTGTATATAACCCTTGAACGGGTACCCTTTGGTATGGTATGGGAACACATTGAAATTCGACAGATTTGAATGGGAATATGATATCCGAGGGTTCAGCCTAGGACCCCCCGTCAAATTTTGTATATAGTGAACCCCTCGGGATATAATACTTAATTGAACAAACCATGCGCATGCATTATACTGGTTCTGAGGTTATACATATTCCGGGTAACAAGCTAGGTTAACTTCGCTTTAAATCTAATAAAAATGAAACAGACACTGCCTGTAATTGACGATTTTTGCTTCTTACTTACCATTCTTCTTTAATTTTCCTCAGATTCTACCAAACACTTAGCAAAGATGTAAATATAAGGAGAATTCTTACAGATAACTAAGACTTTCCATAGACCGCCTGTACAAATTCTAAAATGTTTCAGTCATTGACGTCATCGATTTAACTCATTTGCATACAGCCAATCAGCGCAGCGGAAATTATCGATTTTCTTGACTTTGTGGAAAGGTGAATAGCATTCGAGTTAAGCATATTGCCCAACAAATTGTTCAGCATTGTAACATCTGGATCGGCATTCGAGTTAAGCATTTAAGAAATGTATACGCATTGGATCTTTAATGGTTTACAATAGCATTCGAGTTAAGCATATTGCCCAACAAATTGTTCAGCATTGTAACATCTGGATCGGCATTCGAGTTAAGCATTTAAGAAATGTATACGCATTGGATCTTTAATGGTTTACAATAGCATTCGAGTTAAGCATATTGCCCAACAAATTGTTCAGCATTGTAACATATGGTTCGGCATTCGAGTTAAGCATTTAAGAAATGTATACGCATTGGATCTTTAATGGTTTACAATAGCATTCGAGTAAAGCATATTGCCCAACAAATTGTTCAGCATTGTAACATATGGTTCGGCATTCGAGTTAAGCATTTAAGAAATGTATACGCATTGGATCTTTAATGGTTTACAATAGCATTCGAGTTAAGCATATTGCCCAACAAATTGTTCAGCATTGTAACATCTGGATCGGCATTCGAGTTAAGCATTTAAGAAATGTATACGCATTGGATCTTTAATGGTTTACAATAGCATTCGAGTTAAGCATATTGCCCAACAAATTGTTCAGCATTGTAACATATGGTTCGGCATTCGAGTTAAGCATTAATGTATACGCATTGTTCATCAATGGTTTACAACAGCATTCGAGTTAATTAAGCATATTGCCCAACAAATTGTTCAGCATTGTAACATCTGGTTCGGCATTCGAGTTAAGCATTTTAAGAAATACATTGTTCAGCATATAATTTATACAATGTATATTATTCTATAACTCTTTTTAGTTAGCTTTAAACTAAATACATGCTCAAAGTATTCAGGATCCTTAATTAATAGTTCGATATCATGTTAAAGTCTCATGTTAAGAATTATAATCAAACGAGTCAGTACTTCAAGTAAAGGGTTAACATAAAAATCAGCAACTTCAAAGTCGAAGCGTTACAATATTCGGGAAGTTATCGGTTTTTGCAGTAGATAGGACAGCGCCCTTATACACTGAACGAAAATCGAAATACCCGGGTTTTGACTATTCCCTTGGTTGAAGCATTTTACGTAGATGGTTCAGAATTATAGGTTAGTGGCAGCCCACTGTTATGGAGAGGTTGTTTGAAATCATTATTTTTTTCTGTGTTATTGTCTGTTGGAAGACCACCGTAGTATCGTTCACCTGTATCATCATTATTCAATGTTTGCTCCGAATTGTAATTTAGTTTTTCATATACTCGATTAGTATCGTTATTTGTTGGTTGTTTCATACCATACTTAAGAGTCTCATTTGATCTCTCTTTAACATCATTATCTATTTGTATTTTTGTATCATCATTCGATTCCAGGTCTGCATTTTCATGATTTGATTGTTGCTCGTTGTCATTATTTCGTTCAGTACCATTATCATTTGTTGTTTGGTCATACAGATCATTTTCCTGCATTTTAATATCAGATAAAGAAATTCCAAAGTTTTGTTCCTCATCAGGTTTATATTTGCCACTCTCCGTCTGAGTTTCAGTCACTCGTCCTTGGTTTTCAGGTTCACTATGATTAGGATTAACATATTCATTTGCACCATCAGTAATGGAGGGATCATATTCAGCTTTAGAGTTTAAATCGATGGGAACATTTTTATCAGCTTCTGTCGATCCGGTGGGAGTATTTTTAGTTTTGTTCATTTCAGTGGAACCATCATCTTGCGTGTATTCGATCTTAGCGGGAACATACTCATTTGTATATTCAATCTCGGTGGGACCTCTTTTCGGTAAGTTTTTCATCCCGATGGGAGAAAAGTCATTCGCGTTATTTATTTCCGAGGGAGAGTATTCGATTGTCAAGCCATTGTTATTGGTCTTAGGTCCGTATTGTTTAACGAATGATGATTTCGATGAGTTCATGTACATTGTATTGTGGGGCATCGTTACAATATTCTTAGACCGTCGCTTTCTACCAACAACTGAAAAATGAAAAAATTGACATGCATTCTATATTTCATTCATCTGGTCTCGATCTGTAAATATATCGTATTGAATTGATATGTAATATTGATTTGTTTGTAAATAGTGATTTTTGCTAATTTTCCATTAATTTTATATAATGTGTAAACATGTATCGCCTTTATACAAAGGGCAATAAATATATACATACACTATAAGAAATTAATATACAAGAAAATGTGAATGCCATTTTAGAAATATATCAATTCTCTTGGTGATGATTCGATATATGTTTTCTTTTTTTTTAAATAAAATATATGAAATATAATATCTCTTAGCATACCATAAAAAATGGCGGCAGCAACTACTGCTACCAAAATGGCGACGGCTAATCCTATCCCAACATACATTCCAGTGGCAGATAAAGTTTGTTGCCTTTTTAACCAATCGGTGTGGTTTTGCGGAACAGTCGGTGGTATGAGTGTCGATGGGAATGTTCGCAGGGGTATGCGTGTTGTTGTAAGGGGTCTTTGTGTTGTTCGAGTGGGTGTTTGAGTTGTAGAGGTTATATTCACTGAGATATTCGGGGATTCTGAAAAAATTGTAGTTGTCGGTTCAGCAGTCGAAGGAGAGGTAGACGTTGTTTCTAAGTCTGCAGATGTTGTGTTTGTTAAAACAGATGTAGCAGTTGTTTCTGCAGGTGTTGAAATTGTTGACGGAAATGTTGTAGTTGTATCAGCAGATGTTGAGATTGTAGATACAAATGTTTTAGTTGTATTAGCAGATGTAAAATTTGTTTCAGCAGATGTTGTGGCGGCAGTTGTAGGTGCAGATGTAGTTAAAGGACACGGCGAAGTGTCATTTAGTCCATCAATGATTTCTACAAAATAAGAAAGACATTCACATTTTAAAATGCAAAGGGAAAAACTTTTTCTGTTTTGACATTATATTCAAAGTTGAATTCATATCTTATTTTGATACGGTAATCACACACAAACAGTTATGTTAGTATAAAAGAAAATTGATCTTGTCAGAATATTCTTGAACTATTATTAACAAATATATATAGAACTTATAAAGATACAAGACAGTTACATGTACATACATATACTATGTGATAATAATTTCTGTATGATCGAATATTATCATTCTCATGCATATTATATGTTAATGTCACGTATATATGTAATTTGATATACTACGCATATTTTGTGTTAGTGCAATGCATTTTACGTGTAAATACAATGTAGATTTACTCCAGGGCATGCATATTTTACGTACGTGTCATGATTATTTATGTTAATTCCACGCATTTATTATAAAATCACCATGCACATTCCATGATAGTGACATGCATATTCCATGCCATGCATATCCTATGCAAACTATTCAAATAGACATATGCTATACCTTATTTACACTTTCTATGTACAACTATTTTTTGATTAGCATTCTAGTTTCTGATGCCAGGTTTTCTTTCTTTGCCCATAGCTCCAATTACTTGTATGAACATTTCGCCTATATCTGTATTGCCAACCATTGGCTTTATTTTTCCCATTTCCTTTCGTTTCTGATGCATTAAGTTAAAAGAGAAGCAGTTTATTAATAGAATGTATTAATGAATAGAAACCAAGGTAGTAGCACAATAATGTACAGGGTGTCAAATATGTCGCACCCCTCCCCATCCCCCCATTCAAACGCGATAAATGCTACCAGAGGCTAGCGCATTTACTATTAAAGATATATTCTGAACATTGAGACGTCATCAAAGTTCTTGACACTAATTGTTAGATATATTATTTGACACCCTGCAAACTCAATCCTTGCACAGTTAGTATCCAAACCATGTCGAAACATCTTTGATAATAACGTGTTATACATTTTATTTGCAAAATCATGTATGACACCTCTTCACAAATATTTAGTCCATGTTTCTGAGTGAGAGTACATTACGGGGCGTAGATACTTCTTGTGCTTCATGTGAATTATAAATGCTTTTTTTCTATATTAGTCACTGAAAAAGCTAACTACTGTAATGCCTAGGTAGATATAGTATTTGTATATAATTAAGTTTAATGATTTTAAGCTTTTAATTGTTAAAATGATGATACATCTAGTATATAGCATATAATAAAAGCAATAGAAACGTTGCGATTCTACAATCATGAGAATAATTACATAATAATTAGATATATACAATAAAGCCACGTGCCAATTCACATACACGATGTAAATCTAAATGGACTACAATAAATAAGTATAAGTTATGTTTCCCATGGGGGTTTACGCTAGGTACAAAGAGCATTTTGCACTAGTAGTGATGAAGTGAGCATAAATGAACGACTGATTAACTATGGACGTTCGTACATACAAAGTGTCTCAAAGTCTGTTTACAAAAGTGAAAAGAAAACTCAATGGACACCCTGTATATATTATGGGTTTGCAAGCAACTCGTGCATTTCGTTCACTACAAATGCTAACCCCCGGGTACTGGAGTCACCCTTAGATCGGGAAGTGATGGTTAGTGTGTAGAAGAATAATTATAATATGTTGCTGTTTTTATTGCCTAGCTACTACACTACCCCAGATATCTACCAAACAGCTAGCAGGTTAATATCGTTCATGTTCTTGCTTTTTCTGTTCTATTTAGCCTTAAAGTGCTGACTGCTTTATTTACCGAGAATATTACCCCTTTGCTTCTGAATTTAGTCTTGTGTTTGTCTGATTTGTCGACCTATTCAAATTGTCATATGATTTTATTCGCAATAGGCTTGTTATAAAAACATTGTTAATAGTTTAATCAGCAAGCAATAAATTAACAAGGCATTTAGCCCAGATTTTGAAATAGTAAATTTTCTAAAGCAGGTCTATCATTAGAGAGAAAAAACAAGAAATAAGCATGACAAAAATGATTTTTCAACACTGTATTTTCCTTACTACAATGGCCACAGAATCCTGGGCAAACGTTTTTCATGTAACCCTTCCATTTGTTCGAGGTACAGTACGATTTCGGCCATCCACCAGTGCAGTACTTATGTTTGTTCTTACATACATCTATAAACAACGAATAAATAAAAATATCGAATAATTTATTGCAAATTTTTACAAAAACATGTAAAACTTACCACAGTATCCACATATTCCTGGGCATTTTTCTTTCATAAATGCACTCCAATCAGAGTTACACAAATACTTTGCCCAAGTGTTTCCACAATGTTTGTAATCTTCGCAGATCTCTGCAAAACGTTCCCCAATAGATTTCACATTTTACCTCTTTAATTTATTTTACCAGTTCAATTTAATTTCAATTGACGAGAGATATTTAATTGAAATCAAATTGATTAGAAAATAGCATTTTGAATCTTGCATAAGCCCCAGTTTGACAAAAAGCATGCTTAATGAATGAAAAAGCTTATAAAAATTAGCTTAAGTGAATGATTACGAAATTGAATATATTTGAGTTTGTTTACTGTCTAAGAGTGTCATGCGCGTAGGAATCTATAATTACCCAATTTCCAACTTTTAATTGAACAATTTTGAAAGTAATAGAAAAGAGAAACAGTTAATAATAATCCGTCATTCTGTCATTTACAGGTTAAATACGAATAAAAAGCTAATTGAACCACTAATCACTGATTATTTAGGCAATAAAACAAAACTTAGTATAATGTTATACGGATATTAGAAATTACAGATACCATTTTCAATTTCCATTATATGATTAAAAGTAGAAATAACAAGCGAAATGGAACTTAGCTGCATTAAAAATATGATTATTTAAAATGATTAGAGCAAAAATAACAACCCCTAGAAACATAATAAACAACGTCAAACGAATCCCGTGCTCCGCTCTTAACCCCAAGACTGAGGTTAGATTAGATTTGAGCATATTTGTTAGGCAGCTCAGTTACAAGCTTGAGAAAAATGCCCAAATTTCTACAAATTGTTAAATTTGCTATACAAGCAATCGAACTACAAGATGACCCAATGACCTTGCTATACAAGCAATCGAACTACAAGATGACCCAATGACCTTGCTATACAAGCAATCAAACTACTAGATGACCCAATGACCTTGATATACAAGCAATCGAACTACTAGATTGCCCAATGCCCTTGCTATACAAGCAATCGAACTACTAGATGACCCAATGACCTTGCTATACAAGCAATCGAACTACAAGATGACCCAATGACCTTGCTATACAAGCAATCGAACTACAAGATGACCCATTGACCTTGCTATACAGGCAATCGAACTACTAGATGACCCAATGACCTTGCTATACAGGCAATCGAACTACTAGATGACCCAATGCCCTTGCTATACAAGCAATCGAACTACTAGATGACCCAATGCCCTTGCTATACAAGCAATCGAACTACTAGATGATCTAATGACCTTGCTATACAGGCAATCGAACTACTAGATGACCCAATGACCTTGCCATACAGGCAATCGAACTACAAGATGACCATATGACCTTGCTATACAAGCAATCGAACTACTAGATGACCCAATGACCTTGCTATACAAGCAATCGAACTACAAGATGACCCAATGACCTTGCTATACAGGCAATCGAACTACTAGATGACCCAATGACCTTGCTATACAGGCAATCGAACTACTAGATGATCTAATGACCTTGCTATACAGGCAATCGAACTACTAGATGACCCAATGACCTTGCCATACAGGCAATCGAACTACAAGATGACCATATGACCTTGCTATACAAGCAATCGAACTACTAGATGACCCAATGACCTTGCTATACAAGCAATTGAACTACTAGATGACCCAATGACCTTGCTATACAAGCAATCGAACTTCAAGATGACCCAATGACCTTGCTATACAAGCAATCGAACTACAAGATGACCCAATGACCTTGCTATACAAGCAATCGAACTACTAGATGACCCAATGACATTGCTATACAAGCAATCGAACTACTAGATGACCCAATGACATTGCTATACAAGCAATCGAACTACTAGATGACCCAATGACCTTGCTATACAAGCAATCGAACTACTAGATGACCCAATGACCTTGCTATACAAGCAATCGAACTACTAGATGACCCAATGACATTGCTATACAAGCAATCGAACTACTAGATGACCCAATGACCTTGCTATACAAGCAATCGAACCACAAGATGACCCAATGACCATGCAAAAATATACATGACGTAATAAAATATAAGCATCGTTTTAAATGCTAAAAATGTTGATGTTATGAAGCAAATAGAACATTAAAGAATCAAAATTAATTGAAATATGTACAGGGTGCCCATAAAATCTCTTTACACTAACAATACAAAGTTTGTGCCAAATATAAAACGACTTTATGGACTCAACCTGTACTTTAAAACCAACAAATACTTAAAGTCTTACGTACGTTTGTTTACATAAAATTTAAAGAATTTATTTTAATAATTATGTATCGTTGTAGTTTATAAACCAATAATGTTTCAGTTATGTGTACCTACGTAAAATACAGGACTAAATTGACAAATGAAGATTACTTAAGGTAATGTATCTACAAATAGATCATATGAGGCCAGTCTTATGCAACCATATAAAGCTAAGTTTTCATCAATGGCGCTTTGATGGTGCTTTAAAGCGCCGTGCAAAGATGCTTTCCACGCCGGTTTAAAGCGCCATCAAAGCGCCGTTGGTGTGAACTTAGCTTTAACCATATGTTTTACAATTTTCAGGGTTAAACGGTGATCTGTACTTAAAATATGCTGTTCTTTTTTAGGTTTAATAAGTTGTATTCTGTAATAACATAAACTGGACTGACATCAAAGATTTCAAAAGGCTAGCCATTTTAATATCTTGGCAACGAATCCCGAATTCAATGCTGAAACAAGTTCTGGGGTAATTTCAAGGAGTGTAAATATTGATGGAGAATATATGTTTATATTACTATAATAGAGACTGCCGCAACTGCAATAAAATAGTTAGTCATCTACTATGTACAGGGTGTCAAAAAAGAACAGCACCCCCCTCTACAGCAAAATTTACTTAATGTTACATACTAGTGTGTCATATCCCATTTTAAAGACAATTTAATTCTGGAGTTACTTGAGATATTTCAGCTTTATATGATATAATGTTACAGATTTACAGCTGATTATAAGTAGTTGGTATGGCCACTACCTGCCTCTCAAAAAGCAGCTAATCTGGATGAATATGATTTCAATGAAGATTCAAAGAAAGGTTCAGCATTGCGTAATCCTTAAAGCACTTTCCTCATATTCCTCAGAAATACATGCTTACTGTATCCATTTTCAAGAGGCCCCCTCTCCATCAATTCCCCTTCCCTGTCTTTCATAACTGAGCCTATATGTTCAGCGTAGTTTCCAAGGTTTGATTAAACCAGTAGCAAACAAAGTACTGAAGTACTGAACTTCGAAACAATGTATCTTTTTTTAAAGTTTTATTAAATGAAATTTAATGAGTAACTCCAAAATTAAATTATCCTTCAAATGCGATATGACATGCCATGTAACATTAAGGAGTTTTTGCTGTTTTTTCGTAAGAAATCTTGCCTCATATATCGCCTCGCATTATAAGAGTTGGAGAAAGGCTATTGCATTTTATGTAAGCTGAATATTGTTGAAATCATGCCAAGGCTCTACTAAATGTAATGACTCGATTAAGTAGGACCTTAAAGTATTTCAACAATGGTACAATCTGCTCATAACATTTTGAAACAATGTAAGTGTCAATCTAGGTTACGGTTTTAAAATTTCAACTTGTTCCAAAAGGAGCAACACAATACTGAGTTTATGACAGAGCCAATTTAAGGTTAAATAAATTCCCGAGTAATCAACTTCTTATGTAGGATGCAGTTAGTGTTACTGTCTTACCTAAACACTCGTTACCGTTCCAGCCATCTTGACACTGGCATCTGCAATCTTGTGTAGGGTATCCACAATTACAGTCAGCCATGCAGACACATTTATCCAACATACCGTCTTTTTCACAATCACCTTTTAACATAATCATGATAAGTGCATTAAACATAGCAAAATGGAACACCTCTGTAAGTTGAATATCTCTGTAAGTAAAATACTTTTTTAGAGTCCCATGACCCATTGTCTAAATGTTAACTGAACCGCTGAACGTTGAACACCTCTAGTTTATGTGGAATACCTTTTTAGATGTACCAAAAGTGTTCCGGTGTGAAAGAAATGATGGTCATTTCATTCAGGTATTATTGTCCCCTTTTTAACGGCCGTTACTGGCCCTGATTGTGTATAAGATAATGAGGGAAAGGGTTGTATTTAGGTCACCATATAAATCAATGGAGAGTAGGACCATAATTTGATAGGACCTCCAACCCTTTTACACAGGTTATACAAGTTTTACTGTCATACATTTAAAATAATTTGTCTAGCTCTGGTTTTAGGTGTTGCTCAAGGGTTTAGTTTTAATTATAATGTTTTGACTTAAAAATTGTGTGTGTCTAGAACGGTACATTTATTCGATTCTGTATTTTATCTTTTAGACCATTTTAAACTGAATAGATTCTTGTTTAGCAAATCATTGAATATGCATGACATTGGAATATGGAAAAGGAATCAACAATTTCAACAAGCCGTTTTTGATAAAATTGTAAATTCAATATTTTGGACAAACCGTCCACTAAAATGATAACTAATTCATTATGATCAATCTATGAATATGTACTTAATTTAGGTATGAATGACTTTTCTGAGTATTTTAGACATATTGTTCATCAACACAGCTTGTTGATCTAGTTTTTGGATGAGTTCTGGTAAAATGCAGTTTTAAATGGTTAAGTTCTGAATCTAAATGGCCACCACAATTTCAGGCAGACACAGACACATCTATCTTGTTCAGTGTACAGCCAAACATACTGAGCTGCAGACTGATTTATGTTTCATAAATTATATGTTAGAACATTTATACGTCAATAAAAATTTATAAATTGTCTTAGAATAGCTGTTACTAAAATGATTACATAGTATTTTCTACATTTTGTTATTAAAAGGGTTACTTTCTAGCATTTTTCAATTCTAAATGTGTGTTACTTAAAGGGTCGTGATATATATACTTACGACAAAGTCCTTTGTCGCAGAAATAGCTTCCCCCGGAACACTTCGTGCATTCTGTTCCTTTTTTAAATGGCTTTTGATTACGATAGTTCCCCCTAAAATACAAGAACAAATGCATGACAATTTTTCTAACTCTATATACATCCTTCTTCTTTTTGCCCCGAATTGACAAAAAGCCTGTGCCGAGGAGTAGAGGGACTACCAATATTCGACATGTCATATATTGTCGTTGTTATTAAGGACACATAAGATGAGTAAGCAAAAAATCAAAAGTGCAAGTAAATGGACATGATAACGGTTATGTAAACCCCAATATCCGATGCAATGATTTGTCCAACAAGGTAACAATGTCTAACGCTCCTTGCAACACCGTTCACAATTTATATAACGATCACAATCACGCAACCAATAGTACAATAACGTCATTTCTAAGGGCAATACAGTGAAATATTGGACCGAGGGCCGAAGGCCCAAGGTCCAATATTTCACTATATTGCTCGCAGAAATGACGTTATTAGAATTAATACCACCGTTAACGATCAGGACTGAAACAGCAAGAAAATCTTACGCATTGAACGATATCTATTTCCCGGGGAAAATTGCCGGTCCAGAATATATTCTAGACCGGTCCATATGGACCACCACTATGACGTCACACATTTCCCAGGTCGATATTGTACAAATAGTGACTGCCATTGAAGGAAATAGTGCAAAATATTTTCCTCAAGGGCCTGCAGCCTCGGGAACATGTCAGTGGACAGGATATTCCCGAGAGGAAAATTTTTACACTATTTCCCGAAAATGTGGCAGTCACTGTTTGTTTTATTATATACCTGATAAATACTCTGTAAACAAAAACAAAATGAGAAGTCTTTTCATTTCAATATCAAATGTTCACAGGTTCTTATTGGCATTTAAAGGCATTTACCTTTCAACTCCTATAATCTCAGATTTGGGGGAAGATAAAATGTACTATTGACTGGTCACATGACCTAACTGGTGATTAGTACAATTCATCTTCCCTGAAAGCAGGGATTTAGGACTTTCCAGGGAATTAGTTCATCTATATTCCATGTCATGTGACCATGAATAAGCCAATGAGCATCTAGAATACATTTGAGGTATATAGTAAAGTAAAATGAATGCCTTCTAAACTAGCACTAAAACACCTAGAACTGGCCCGGCAAGGTGGTAATAATATGACAACAATAGCTCCTCGGTGGTGTTATAAAAAGGCAAGAGACAGATTGAAATATTATACAGGATCATCATTTTAAGAAATTATTCCCTTACCATATCTGACTGATAGTCACAATGTTACAGCACTTTGAACAACATGGGTCAGGTGTGGCCATCATTGCATTATAAAAAAAACAAACATGCACCAATGGTCGATTACCCGACTGCATTTCTCAGCAGGTATGGGCTAAATGAGACGGATGGTCTCCTTTTTGACATTCGCAATTGTCCTGAACAAGTTCATTCTCAAACACTCTTTGTCTTATCACCACAGATAAGTCGGGTAAGGACATTTTGAACGACTTGTGCACTACTAACGCAATAGTGGCCACCGGAGAATGTTGTTTAAAGTGCTGTAACATTGTGACTATCAGTCTGTCATAATCATGAAATATAATTGACTGGTAAAAATTGAATGTTATACAAATGTACCGAATATCAGAGAATAATCCCCTAAAGTAACAAAGATTTGAGGAAAATAGTGTCAGATTTCCATTTCTTTGACCACCCTGTATGTACAGTACAAGTTAATCAGTTGTCGAGGCATTAAACAATGCCCTTGATAGTAAGTACACAAACATGTTCCAGCCAATTTGATAATCGACGTTAAACTTAATTTAAACCATTTATTTACACGCTTTCAACATGCTCCATGACACTTATGGATGTGATTATTTAGTCGTTAATTACTCAAATTAATTCAAATGAATAGTCAAAAATGCATTGACTTGGAGCATAATTCTATGCAGCTGAATTTAAAAGTGAACTTTGAAAGAAACATTACAATTCAAATATAGTTCAATTTTAAATGTCTTGCAATTGCTTGATTATAGATTTTAACATTTTTTCTGTTTCAAAAAATGTGAGATAATTTTTATGGCACACAAGACAAGCTATTAAAAGCTTTTCATATTTTTCGGTTGAGCAATATAAACTGTAGAAACATTTAACTCACGCTGGTCCATAGTTGCAAACTAGGTATTTGGCATTTTTTCGAATTTTTCCAGGCTTACTACTTTCTATCATTGTCTCGCAGGTATGGTATCCACAACCGATCTCACGACTTTTGGCCCATACAACCTGTCAAAAAGAAAAAAAGTTGTCAAGGTAACGACGTTTCTGGCATCGTCTCACATATAAAGCAACCAATTCCTCAACTTTGGCCAGGTCTTCCTTATTTGTCCCATACGAGTACTAAGTCGAAAAATAGCTAGATCTTGGGATCAAGCGATGTGTCAGCTGTCAGGTTTATTTGCTCTATAAGTATGTTGAATGACAGTCCTTTGGGTACACCACGGTAGCCAAACTTGGATACTGACCTACTTAAAGTGTACAAATCACGTAAGAGTACACGTATCATATATATACATGTAATTCTACATATCTCCAAATGTCAATTGTGGGTGGATTCTGCATCCAGTTTATTATTAAGATACCATAATGGTTTTGTATAAAATAAACAATGTTATCATTTAATTGATTTAAAAACATGGACTTACTCGCTCAAATTACTATAAATGCATATTATCTTATAATCTAGAGTAATGGATGACATTAATACAGTCATCGGGTGTTTTTGGAATATATTTTGTTGTCAATTCATGGATTTTAAGTTGAGATCGAATCCTGCATAAAAACGGATCCTACAATAATTTGAATGTTAACCTTACCTGTGTAATGTCAACAATAACTTGAATGTTAACCTAACCTGTGTGTAATGTCAACAATAACTAGAATGCTAACCGTACCTGTGTGTAATGTTAACAATAACTTGAATCTTAATCTTACCTGTGTGTAATGTCAACAATAACTTGAATGTTAACCTTACCTGTGTGTAATGTCATTAATAACTTTAATCGTAACCTTACCTATGTCTAATGTCAACAATAACTTAAATGTTAACATTACATGTGTGTAATATCAACAATAACTTAAATGTTAACCTTACATGTGTTTTATGTCATTAATAACTTGAATCGTAACCTTACCTTTGTATAATGTCCACAATAACTTGAAAGTTAACCTTACCTGTGTGTAATGTCCCCAATAACTAGAATGTTAACATTACCAGTGTATAATGTCAAAAATAACTTGAATGTTAACCATACCTGTGTATAATGTCCACAATAAGTCCAAGAGCACTTCAGAGTATCATAATTGTAAAACCTTTTTTCTTTGTACCAAGCTTCAATCCCTGCTGCTAAATTAAATCTCCCAGTTGTAAAGTAAAGGTTTTGTCCGATTGGGTTGAATTGCGCCAGGTCTTTGCTATAATTCACCTGTCCGTGTTCCCAATCACAATTTTCAGCCCATCCTTGGGATAGATCTGCTAATTCAGCGTTCCATCTCTGCAATGTAAATACATTATTAGATTGTTGTAATATCAGTTTCATGCACGTGTGTAGATATATGTAATCAGATCCCAAATATTCATTTTATTTCGTTTTAACCATGGTATACACAGAATACGAGCTTCGTTACTGATATCTTATAGCTATGTGTCACAGTGAATTCACTTTATGACATTTTATCCACATATTCCTGGGTATGTTTCATGAATGGTTACGTTTGCTCCAATCTTTAACACTGGTGTATTGTATTGTCCTAGTGTATTGTATTCTTGTATTGTATTGAGTTGTATTTAGTTCTGTTGTGTTGTATTGTACTTTACTGTATTGTGTCGTGTTGTGTTGTATTATGATGTATGGTGTTACATAGTATTTTATTGTATTGTATTTTATTTTATTGTATAGTATTGTAGAATATGTTGTAACGTAGTATTCCGAAATTTTGCTTATGGTTAACATACACTAGTTAGGAACAGTAAAACGGTTGTAGCAATACTCGTAGTCATAAGGTCGGAATAGTAAGGGTAAAGTAAGAGATAAATTGTCGTAACTATAAGAAAGAAGATACACTCGTAGTGATAGGGAAAAATAACTCACAATAGTAGAAATACTCGTATAATAGAATAGTATATGTAAACGTAAATAAGGGTCAAAAATGATTATGATAGAAATTTTCTTCTTCATGTAAACTGAACATATAATAAGTAAATAAGTGGTGGATATACTCGTAGTGATGAAGGAAACGTAACGTCTAGTACTACAAATACTCGTATTTATTAGGAATTATAAACGTAAAGAAGTGGATATACCCGTAGAGATAAATAACGCATAGAAATAGGCGCAAACGAATAGAATTAAAAATTCTTGGAGTTCAAGTAAACGTACAGTAATACAAATGATCGTAGTAATAATAAATGATGAAAAAGATGGATAAATCAACTAATTTTATCGCAAAAACATAGAAATGAAAACAATACTAAACCTGGGAACAGTCTGACTTTAACGGACAATGTGTTCTTTGTTATACAATTGACTTTGTATAAGTGCCAGCAATTTTCATCTTTGGTTATTGAAGTTATGTAGCTCGATAAAAAGGAGGAAACGCCTCAGGATTCCCTTTTATCGTATGATCGGTTAAATGAAGCCCTCTAATTTGTCAGTTTTGGTGCTGTACCAATCTGTATTGCTACTGAGATTGTCCCAATTGATCATCGCCGTAGCAATACAGAAAAATAGCCAGGTACAGAATATTTCCTAGGGATTATCTTTCCAGTAAAATGTACTGGCCTAAGATAAAAACGTTATAAAATGATTTGAAGTGCAATACAGGATATATTGTCGATATTCTGTATTGGCACTCGACTTCGTCCCGTGCCGATACAGAATTTCTCGAGCACAATATATCCTGTATTGCACTTAAAATCATTCAATCAATAAGTTATATTGTCACTTACGTAAGACCATGGTAAGACATACATTTTATTTTGAAATAGAAAAAGTAAATCATGTTCTACAGAAATCAATTACGTTTAATCAATAATAAAAACCCACAAAAGAATAAACCCCTTTTTATTTTGAGAAATGTACAGAACATAAAATAGCAATTGGAAAGCTATCAAAAAGCAACGTGGCTCTAAAGACGTACCAATAGTTGAATAGTCGATACCAGACAATACATCAGTCTCCCGAAGGAGACCCAATTGATAGAAGAAAGAATATGCAAGCAAAAAGAGCAAACATTAACAGCAAAGTCATTAACACATGCGGCCTGCTATATGTTTTGTGCGAATCTGCAATGACGCAGATTTTGGTCTCAAATTTGCAGACACTCTTTGAATTGACACTCTCGGTAGTATCTTGATGTGAAATTACCAAACAGGTACCTTGAAAGCTATAGCCTCGTGTTCATCAAATGGAATGTACTTCAGAGTAGCGAATTCAAAGACGTGTCGCAAAAAGGTGGCGCATTTGTTTTTTAAGGGTATCGCGTGAATGTAATTTTGATTCCCCGGATTATAAGATAATATTCTAATTAAAGTTATTTATCATTTTAAAGCTGTTTCGATGAAGTTTTTAGATCAACTACACTGCGTTCACGATTCTTGCGCGTTCTTTTTTAAAAAATAGTTTTTTACCAAAACATCTGGCAAATATCCCCTGTTGACACGTTACATTTTGAATTATTTTTCGTCTTTAAACGCTCATAACTCAAAAATTTATGACTATTATACTTATTTTTCGTCTTGACAAGGTAGATAGAAGTTTTATTTTAAAGGAATTCTAATAAGCGTCTCATATTGTGACGTCATAGAGTTTGAAAAATAGAATCTGTTGACAGCGACCTTTTTTGCTCATTTTTTGTTACCTTCAACTTTTCAGGTGTACATTAAACAAAAAATACGAGATCAATTTTTAATAAATCATACATGATTATTTTGCTCTTAAACTCTAGTTTATTAATAAATAGTTGATTGTGTTCGCAAAAGTACGTGTTTTCTGTTGTATGTAGAAAAGTAGAGGACGAAAGGTTTTCAAAATTCATTAAAATAGGGCTAATTTACGCCATTCGCCTATTTTCAAGCACAGCAATACGTATATTTATTTCACGTAAAATATCAGTTGATTCGTGTTTTATGATGCTCCTATCCCATTGCTAATACATATACGATATCAGAGTTATTCGCCTTAAATATTTTGAGATATAGATGCAAATGTGGAGGACGAAAGGATTTCCATATGTGTACATTTTTCTCAAAAAACGTCACATTCTGTGGTGTTAAAAAGCGAAAATGTGTAACAATGCGTGCGCGACCTTTTTGCGACACGTCAAACGGTTGTAAAGGGTAGTAAGTGTTCTTATTTCAATCGGATGTACATGGAATTAACATGCACAATGTCACAACCTGTTATTTGTTACAGACACCGAACGCCGAATACCAACAGCCGTTAATGTAGGAGACTATAAACAATTTCTTCTTGTGGTGCATGGGTGATGTTAAAACTGCGGACTAATTGTCACTGGCATGTAGCGATTTAAGCGATACTGGATACTTTACTGAATTGTGTCGAAGTTAGACGTGTGGTGCGGAAGTTAATATGCAGATGACTATCATTTCAATGTTATATTGTTTGTAGGCAAATTGAGATTAGGCCATTGGAGTATTTGTTTCACGCATACATAAAGCCTAACGCATTCAAGGGTCACATTTATCATTAAACCAATAACTCAAACATATGACCTTGTACACCGACCACCTCTTGAAATCAATGCAGGCCGATTTCAACGAATGCAAACGGTGATATATAAAAGAAACATAATCAAGCATGACCACGTCCCAACTTCTTTTGTTTTCTTTACAACTAAGCTATGACTGTAGTCTATTCAGTGTTGCGTATCGAACCTTGTTTATTATAAAAATAGTGCAACAACAAGCAGAATTCACACATTTACCTATACTTATTCTCAACTGAAGACATTGAATTTATCTCTTAGGTTTTACATTATAAATATCTTAACATGCAGAATACGAAAATAGAGGCTTAGGCCCAACTTTGTATGGATTTCATGAAAATAATCTGATTTTAGAGAAATGAAAAGAAAAATGTCCACACCCTACACAAAATATTTATGGTTCCCCGGGAATACGTATGTGTTGCTTGTATATTAGAATCGTATTCCAGTTACAGAAAGAAGTACATATCATGCTAAACTATATATATATATATTTATCGTCTATTATCCTTTGACAAGTAGAGTAGAGAATAAAAATAAAAAATTTAAAAAATTCAAAAAAGGAAATAAGATTAATTTTTTAGAAAACTACTTGGTAAATGATAAAGCAGATATGTGCGGTCGGTTTGGATATGGGGTTTATCCCTCGTGAGATATGCACGTCTACCTTCGGTCCCTATGGTCCATCAGGTAGATATAGAGATTATCCTATCTGAGGTTCAGGATATTGGGATTACCCCGAGGCAAATATAATATATCTGTCCGAGGGCCGCAGGTCCCGAGGGAAAATATATTTTATTCCATAATACTAACTGTTTTCCCAGGGAAATATGAAGGAATTAAAATCGTATTGAATGGTATTACATGAAAAAAGCGTATTGTCCCCGGGAAAAAAATCGTATTGGAGCGTATTACATGAAAAAAATCGTATTGTCCCCGTGAAAAAATCGTATTGGAGCGTATTACATGAAAAAATCGTATTGTCCCCGTGAAAAAATCGTATTGGAGCGTATTGACCTATTTTTTAGTTTCCCGGTTATTTTATTTATTTATTTTATTTTTCAAACAATGTGCATTTATTAATATAACGTTTGCATTATCCAAATGTAACATTCTAGAGGGATGTATTATGGAATAAATAGGTTATTTCTGGTCAGGATTGAATATGGGTTTTATTCCTCGGAAAATATGATATTGACCTTGGGCAATATGATATTGACACTCGGTCGCTGCGCTCTCGGTCAATATTATATTACCCTTCAGTCAATATCATATTGTCCCTCGGAATAAAACCCATATTCAATCCCTGCCAGTAAATAACCTATATTTATCCCATACTTGGACGTGTTACGGGTACATAAAGCCGGTTTGTAAAAACTTATATTTTCATCAGCGGGCAGATATAGCTTTACGTCCTGCTCCGAGCGGGCAGATATAGTATATCTGCCCGCTACGTCATAATCGCTGTTCCCGTATTGGTTATTTTTTGTAACGTTCGCATACTGTAAACGACAATGGAGAAAAACGCAGACAATCGCGATCTGTGATTGGTATGGGATAAACAGATCATCCTATAGTCGGTTCAGGATATTTGGATTATCCCTTGGCCAATATACCAGGTCGTTCAATAAGTTCCCGGAAAAACGCTCTCATTTTGTTAGTTTGTGGTATTTTTTATTGAAATTTTCACAGTATGTGTAAAATATATTTAGAATTTATGTATAGAAATATTTGTATACAATATTTCATATTTATTAACTTATCCTTG